TGTAACAATTTTTTCCTTGATTCTTGTCAATGGCACAGCCTGACAGTCCAGCCGAGCTAGGTAACAAGATATACGAGATGATGGCAATGGCCCTTGGAGGAAGGTGGGGCAGACTCGAGGACAACGAAGCGGAATCCACAGAAAATGCTACAGAATCTGACGCAAGCTCGTCTGATGGTTCAGAATCTCAAGTCGTTGAGGCCTCAGAAGTGAGGACTGAGAATGATCCTTGGAGTGCTTGATGAGGGCATCAGTTCCCCATCTTTTATCAAATTTTTGGTACAATTGTCCCCAACGGGTAAGAGTTATGAGGTAGAGTGCACAAAAATGAAGCAAACCATGTATTGGTCAAAGGGTACTATCTACTTATTATCAACATAGTTCATAAGACTTGATACACATTTTCATTACAATCCCATTATACTCTCTCAAAAAAAGCCGACTTGCATTTTGAGTCGGTCAAAATAATCTATGGGTCAGTTAAATTTGCACCATTAATTTTTTATTTTTTTTATTTTTTGTTGCTACTAGAAATGTCAATGATCTATCAGTCTATTTGTACAACTAAAATTTGATTTTCGTTGGTATTAGATATGTTATAGCTAATGTCATTTTGATAGTACTAAGTGCATATTTGGAAAGTGGAATTTCAAGTTTCAGCCTGAGTTCTACCTAAATTGTTTATAAAATCAATATTTGTAGATATAACAGTTTTAATTAACTGCCAGCTTGAATTTTCAAAAATAGAGGCTGAAACACATAATTGAGCTCGGGTCGCCTAGGCAAATGCGTGATCAAAATGTTGTTTTCGTTCAGAATTTAACTCCAACAAGGAAACTTTCTTTTGGGCTGCTATTTGCACTAATTTTAGAGACTTTTGGGACTTCTTGAAGAGTACTATAAATATACCTTATAAACTCAAAATTAGGGTGGAAAATTGATTGTAAGAGGAGGCGAAGAACGGAAGATTGAGTTCAAGAAATTTGAACATCAAATTCAAGAATTTCGGGTGATGAATTATTTTTATTTCTTTTGGTTTTTTTTTTTTGATGGATTCTGT